ATTATTATGCTATAACATCACATCTACAAAAATGAATAATCAACTTAAAATTTAAAGTTAAGAGTGCCAAAAGAAATAAAGGTTGTCGATTAGTATCAAGCCTTGACACAAATAGAGTTGGCCATGGTTGACAAATTTGAATAAGAGAGAATGAGAGAGGTCATCATTTAGCTTTAGGGCTAGAGTAAAAGAGAAAGTATAAGAGAAATGATAAGACCTTGTAAACTAGGGTCGTGAGATTTCAACTTTTTAATTTTTAAATTTGTTTTATATTTTTATTTTTTTTTTCAATTTTTAAGCAGTAGATTGGGTTGGATGAATTTTATTCATTTTGATGGATCAACCCATAAACCGCCCCAAGTCAACCCACTTGCTTCCAAAAAACCCAATCCATCAGAAATTTAAGAAAAAATCGACCCAAACGGTTCAATTCAGTTTGGGTTTATCGATTTAGTAGGTTGCTTCGATTTTCGTTCACTCCTAATTGCAACATGCTACCTTTAAAAGGTAATGTGTTTTATTAAAAAAAAAAATGAGCCGACTCGACTCAATAATGTTTGAGTAAAAAGTTCTGGTTGAGCCTAAATTTTTTGCTCGAGCCAAAGAAAGCTCCAAGCATTTTTACTTGATCTCGAGTCCAACCATCAACTTTCGACTCAATTTGGATCGTTGATATCCCTACCCTAATTTGATTATTGAAGTTAGGCAATAGATCCTTTATCTTCATGTAATTTTCAAATTTGACTTTCACAACAATTTATTGCTTGTTTGGTCCTCTTTAAAATTTTAAATTACTGGCTATAATATCATTTTTAACTACACATTTACGCAACAAAATATTTTCCATACAAACTAATAAAGTTTCTTTATTTTTTAACCTCACATTCTTAAAAAAAAAAAAAATTATTTAAAACTCGTTAATTTTTCAAATAATGGGTGCCAAATAGAGGCTTAGCAACGAGTACATATAATGATCAATTTCAAACTTTCAAATATAATATTTATCTCTTTTCATATTAGAGATTGTTCACACTCGTTTTAACTTCTAATTCTTTATTCTTCTTTGTTCGGCTTGACAAATAATTACTCCAGAGTAATATTACTTTCTCGCTTTCCCCATCTCCAATCCAAATACAAAGGTGGGCAATCATGACAAAATTGATGTTGCATGTGCGAATAAATAAATGGGGAAGTGCTATGTGTACACACAGCATTACACTCCCCTCACATGAGGGCCCCACATACAATAAAATATTTGTGGGCCTCCTACATGTGGGGGGTGTAATCTATATCGTGTGCACATAGAATTATTCTAAATAATTAGCAAAATTAGAAAGTATTAGTATTATTATTTATATTTCTTAAAAGGGAATCTACAAAAATGTCATGAAAAATGAAAGTTCAAAAAAATTTGTCATTTTCACTTTATGTGAGTAAAAATGTCACTTTTTGTAGTGAAAAGTCTAAATTACCCTTAATAACACATTTTTAGTAGCATTTAATGCTTGATTTGATAGAAAAGTATTGATTTGATGTGATAATTTAATTTCTATATACAAAACATGGATAAATGTGTATTTTATTGATTAATATGAATTTTTGTTAATAAAAAAGGGTTAAAAAAAATTTAAAAATGAAACATAAACTACGAATCCTAACTTTTCTCCATCTTCTTCATTTTCATTGATAAAGAAGATATTTCCGTTGCATTCTTCATCCATTTGAGATGTTAGTAATTACAAATTATTTATATTTTACTCTTATAGTTTTTTGTTTTGTAAATGTTAAATACAACATAGACATATTTATTTAAAATTCTTGAAACTATTATGCATTAATTTTTTTTGGTTTTGGAGTCCTTTACAAAATGTTATTATCGCCATTAAGGTTTTGAGTAAGTTCTTCCATTCAAACCAAATACTGTTTTCATTAAATGTCTCTTTAATGCAAGGCTAATCTGACATTTTCATTTTGTTATTTGGTAGCTTAATAGTAATGGCCACACTTAATGTGCTGCACTGAAGAAGCTTGAGTTCCACCCATTGCCGTCTGCTTCTCCACATTTAAAATGTCGAATTTGACATTTAAAAATTGTCAAGTCAGATGTTTGAAATGTCGAATCAATATTTACAAAATGTCGGGATATAAAGTTTTACTGTCAATTTGGACACGTCAAAACAATGGAAACCCTTGATTTGATCTTTTGCTATCGTACAGATTTACATATTATGCAATGTCACTTTCATAATATAAAATGCCAACATATTGATTCTGAATTATTATCGTTGCAATCCCAACATCTTAGGTATGAGTAATCATTTGAGATTCATCGTGTCACATGGGGAAAAGTTTGTTCATGCGAATGACGAATGGAAGTGGAGAGGGAACAAAACAACTTCCATTTTGGTGCCGACAAATATTATTGTAGCTGAACTTTTGTTAAGGTTGAAGGACAAACTTGGTATTCTTGATCCTCACACTCAAATTGAATTAAAATTCAAAGTCTCTAACTTGAATATACCTCCGACCGAAATACGTGACGATGAAGACTTAAATTGGTGGTAAAAGTGGTTGTCAAATGTAATCTCAAAATTGTTCCCCCTTATGCAATGTACATTCCAAACTTATGTTATTAATTTGTTGTTTTTATCATATGCCAACAAAAAATTGGTAGTTATGTTTCGCAAGCAAAGTATAGATCCATTAGCACAAATGAGATGAATACGTTATTTTCATTATAAATTTAGTTGATCATTATGGTTCCATTAGTTTCAACTAACAGTTTGTCAAAATAAAAAATTGATTTTCATGAGACGACAATTCATAAGCAAAACACCAACATTACTTCCCGACAGTTCATGTGTAGTTC